CAGCCCAACGCTAAGGCTTATAAATCCCAGCCTAACCCCTGTTCGGGGCTCAGAATTTGGAGACTGCCTCCTCCAAATGAGCCCGCGCGCCCATGAATAAAGGCTTACTCCGTTCCCTGAACCGTGTCTGAGTCTGTTTTCCCGCAACAAAAGGAAACAGAGGCCTTAAATGACCTACTAGATCAGCTGTATTTAATCAATATCTTCAGCGCATTTCATCCCAAAGCAGCAGAATACACATTCTTTTTAAGTGCACATAGAACACATTATAATAGACCGCATGTTAGGACACAAAAAAGGTCTCAATAAATTTAAGAAGATTGAAATCATATTAAGCATCTTTTTTTACTACAGTAATATGAAACTGGAAATTAATTACAAGGAAAAAAACTGAAAACACACAAACACATGGAGGTTAAATAACATGTTACTAAACAATGAATGAGTTAACAGTGAGATCTAGGGAGAAATCCAAAGATACCTTAAAACAAATAAAAATGAGAGCACAACAACCCCAAAATCTATGGGACAGAGTGAAAGCAGTCCTAAAATGCATATTCATGGCATTACGGGTGTACCTCAAGAAACAAAAAAAATCTCAAATAAACAGTCTAACTTTACACTTAAAGGACTTAGAAAAGGAACAACAAAGCTCAAAGTGAATAGAAGAAAGGGAATAACAAAAATCAGAGAAGAAATAAATGAAATAGAGTCTAAAAAACCAATACAAAATATCAATGAATCCAAGAGCTTGTTCTTTGAAAAGATAAACAAGATTAACAAACCTTTAACTGGACTCATCAAGATAAAAAAGGGAGGGCCCAAATAAATAAAATAAGAAATGAAAGAGGAGAAGTAATAACTGATACCACAGAATTATAAGGGATTTAAGAAAATATTATGAACAACTATATGCCAATAGAGTGGACAATATGTTAGAAATGTATGAATTCTTAGAGATGTAATCATCCAAAATTGAATAAGGAAGAATTAGAAAATCTGAATAGACCAATTACAGTTAATGAAAATGAAGCAGTAATTTAAAAAAAACAAAACACAACACAACTCACAACAAACAAAAATTCTGGCCAGGAAGACTTCACAGGTGAATTTTACCAAACATTCTAAGAAGAACTACACCTCTCCTTCTCAAACTATTTCAAAAAATTCAGAAATTCCAAGCTCATTTTACAAGGCTAGTATTATCCTAATTCCAAAACCAGATAAGGACACTACAAAGAAAGAAAATTATAGGTCAATAGCTCTGATAAACATAGATGTTAAAATCCTCAAGAAAATATTAGCAAACCAGATCCAACAATACATTAAAAAGACCATAAACTATTGTCAAGTTGGCTTTATTCCAGAGATGCAAGGTTGTACAATATTCACAAGTCAATAAACGTGATACACCACAATGGAACAGAAGAGAGCCCATAAACAAAATGAAGCATAAAAACCATGTGATTATATCAGTAGATACAGAAAAAGCATTTGATAAAACCCCGGAACCCATTTATGATACATCGCTCAGCAAAGTGGGAATAGAGGGAACATACCTCAACATAATAAAGGGATTATAGAACAAACCCACAGCCAAAATCATATTCAATGGGCAAAAACTAAAAGTATTTCCCTCAAGACCAGAAATAAGATAGGGATGTCTACTTTCACCACTCTTATTCAACATAGTATTGGAAGCTCTAGCCACAGAAATCAGACAAGAAGAAATAAAAAGCATGCAGATTGGAAAGGAAGAAGTAAAACTGTCATTCTTTGCAGATGACATGATTCTGTATATAGAGAGTCCTAAAGATTCCACCAAAAAATTACTAAAATTGATAAATTAATTCAGTAAAGTAGCAAGATATAAAATAAATATCCATAAATCAGTTGTATTTTTTTATTTTTAAAATTGTTATGTATTGATTTTAAAGGGAGAGGAAGGGAGAGAGAGAGATATCATATATGTCCTGACCAGGGATTGAACCCACAACCTTGGCATAATGGGACAATGCTATCCAATTGAGCTACTCAGCCAGAGCCATCAGTTGCATTTTTATACACCAATAACAAACTATCAGGAAGGGAAATTAAGAAAACAATCCTCTTTACAATTATAACAAAACAAAGGAACTTGGAATAAAGTTAGCAAAGGATGTAAAATACCTGTACTCAGAAAATTATGACACTGAAAAAACAAATTGAAGAAGATAAAAATAAGTGTAATCAAATGCTGTGTTCATGAAAGGAGAAATTAATATCATTAAAATGGTTATACTACCAAAAGCAACCAATAGATTCAACACAATTTCTATCATGATACCAATGGCGTATTTCACAGAACTAGGACAAATATCCCAAAAATTTATATAGAACCACAAAAGGCCCTGAATACCCACAGAAGTCTTGAGAAAGAAGAACAAAGTTGAAGGAATCATGCTACCTGATATCAAATTATACTACAAGGCAATAGTAATCAAAATAGCATGGTACTGGCCTAAAAACAGACACGTAGATCAATGGAACAGAAGAGAGCGCAGAAATAAATCCATGCCACTATGGTCAATTAATTTAATACACAAGGAAATAACATACAATGCAGTAAATATAATCTATTCAATAAATGTTTTGGAGCAGAGCAGAGAGATACGTGCAAAAAAAGAAATGAAATTAGACCATGTTCTTATACCATACACAAGAATAAACTCCAAATAGATTAAAGAATTAAATGTAAAATGTAAAACCATAAACATCCTGAAAGAAAACATAGGCAATAAAATCTTAGTTATTTCTTGCAGTAATATTTTTTTCTGATATGTCTCCTTGGACAAGGGTAACAAAAGAAAAAATGAACAAATGGGGCTACTTCAAACTAAAAAGTTTTTGCACAGCAAAGGAAACAATCAATAAAATGAAAATACAACCCATTCAATTGTAGGACATATTTGCTAAAGATATATCTGATAAAGGGTTCATATCCAAAATTTATAAAGAACTTGTACAACTCAACACAAAAAAACCCCACCAAACAACCCAATTTGAAAAATGGGCAAAAGTGTTAAATAGACACTTCTCCAAAGAGGACATAAGGATGACAAACAGACATATGAAAAGATGCTCAGCCTCACTAATCATCTGAAAAATGCAAATTAAAACCACTGAGATATCACCTCACCCCTGTCAGCATGGATATCATTAATAAATCAACAGACAAGTGCTGGTGAGGATGTGGAAAAAGACGAACCCCTTTGCACTGTTGGTGGGAATGCAGATTGGTGCAGCAATTATGGAAAGCAGTATGGAGATATCTCAGAAAATTAAAAATGGATCTGACTTTTGACCCAGCAATTCCACTTCTGTGAATATATCCAAATAAATCTGAAATACTGATTTGAAAGAATATATGCACCCCAATATTCATTGCAGCACTATTTACAATAGCCTACATTTAGAATCAGCCCAAGTGCCCATCAGTGGATGAGTAGATAAAAAAGTTGTGCTGGGTACTTTTACACAATAGAATATCTCTCAGCTGTATAAAAGAAGGGAATCTTACTTTTTCTCCACAGCACGGATGGACCTGGACAGTATTATGCTAACTGAAATAAGCCAGTCAGAGAAAAACAAATACCACATAATCTCACTTGTTGTGGAATCTAATGAACAAAATAAACAAACATAGAAAATAAAAACAAACTCATAGATACAGAAAACAGACTAACAACTGTTAGAGTGGAGGGTTTGGGAAAGTGGGTGAAAAATGTGATGGGATTAAGCAAAACAAAAGAAAAAAACAAAATCTCATAGACACAGACAATAGTATGAATAATACAGTGATTACAAGAGGGAAAGAGTGGTAATGGGAGGTAGAAGAAGATAGAAGAGGAAAAATGGTGATGGAAGGAGACTTGACTTTGTGTCACAAACACACAATGCAATATAGAGATAGTGTATTATAGAATTGTACACCTGAAACCTATAAAATATTAATCAACATCACCCCAATAAATTCAATAAAAATTAAGAAAAATAAGAAATAGTTCTCCAAGGACTGCTGACTCTGTGCAACAGATAAATTAATATTTTTAAAAGATAGTATAAATATAGAATAAATAAGTAAATAGGAAACAAATTAAAAATAAATTAATGAAAATAAAAAATATGTTTAATGAACTAGAGCAAGGAAATAACTGTATAGGTAATAATAAAACAAAAACAACCCTGGCTGGTGTGACTCAGTGGACTGAGTGTCAGCCTGTGAATCAAAAGGTCACTGGTTCGATTCTAAGTCAGGGCACTTGCCTGGGTTGCTGGCCAGGTCCCCCATAGAGGGCGGGCAAGAGGCAACCACACATTGATGTTTTTCTCTCTCTCCTTCCCTTCCCCTCTCTCTAAAAATTAATAAATAAAATCTTCTAAAAAACCAAAAAATAAAACAAAACCAGATTTTTTTGCCAAAAATATAAACTTGGCAAATATGGGTATTAAAGTTTTAATTATTATTCCTCATATTCAATTTCTGCTTATCATAGAATTTTATACTCAAGCCCTTTGTAGTGTATCCCACTAGATAGAGTACATGTAGTAAACACCTCAATCCTTTTGATATTTGGTTTGGTTTTGTAACAGTGAGCAGACATGAAGAGAGCAGCAGCTTTACATGTGCTTTAGGTTTAACATGGCCTCTTCTTGCTTTTTCCAATTATGGAAAAAATATGTCCCTGGTAGATACTAATATTAGAATAATTGTATCATGTGGAACAGACACCCTCCTGAAGGACTGAAGTAAAAAATAGCTACTACAGTCTAGCCAAGCACTGATGGTTAATAGCACAGTTTCTGGAATCTGACTTCCTATATTTATAGTCCAATTCTACCATTAACTGGCTCATGATCTTTGACCGATTGCTTTCATCTTTATTTGCATCAATATTCTTATTTGTAAATTGGGAATAGTGGGGTTAAAAGTGGGGTATGAGTTAATACAAATATACTACCTGGCACTTAGTGTGATGAGAGGATCAGCCACTAGACCAAGTAGGGTATATCCTAGGAATGCAAGCGTGGTTTAATATCAAAAAATGAACCCATGTAACTCACTAATTTAATTTATAACAAGTTTAAGAGTCTTACTGCAGATATGTACAATCTTAAAACTGTAAGTTCACCCTTTTCTCAAAACTAATACATGGTCTTAATATTCTTCATATTTTTCCCCAGACTCCCACAATGCAAACTTTCTAGAATTGATTTAAAACACAGTCCAAATGCATGATTATTGTCCTGAAGTTTTGTCATTGAGATCCCAGTTTTATCTCTGATTCATCACTATTATGGCCAGAGAGTGGTGGCTTCTTGAAGTGAAGAGTGGACAGTGGCTTTCTCTCTTATTTCTTTGTATATATGAAGTGTAGAGAAATGATAATGCCAAAGGTGGATAATACCTGCTCCCATGAAGAACCACATGTCACTGGGGACGATGTTACTTCTTGGCTTACCTTGACTGGTTGTTGGTTCCCTTTGTTGACTGATTACAAATGACAACCCCTCTCAGGAGCTAGTTCTTCAGACAAGGGACTCTGTAAGAGTCTCTAGCTGCACATTCCCTGCCTTCAACATCATGTCAGTGAACATTTCAATTCATAGTCTCTTGTTCTTTGAGTCCCTGTGCCCCTGCTTCAAGGGAAGAAACATGTTCATGATTAGAGTTTAAACCCCAGTGAACTTCCATGACAGAGGCATTCGCACTCCCCAGGGAAACCATTCAAGCGATAGAAATCCACATTTCCCCCAAACACTCCTGCTCCCAGTTCTATTTTCCCTTTTTCTATCTCCCCATGCTGCAACAAGATCAGGCCATCTGCTGATTTAGTACTTTAGTAACTTCAGAACACGATATAATCCCTCCATTTCTACCTTAGGTAACTTAATCTGGGAAAGTGAAGTAATTTGGACATCCCTACTTGCCAAGATTAGTAGGAGGATAATAGAGTCTTTTCCCCACCCAACATGAAGAGGAGAGGAAGAGGTAATTTCCATTCAAGGGGTATCAGCCTTCTTTTCCCTCTTTATTGACCAAGGGGATGGGAATTATTAAATCACTCATGTTGAACAGTCCTCTCCTTGCAGGTTTCACAGTGGTGTCCCTTGGACATTTCTCCAACATTAAAATATGAGACACTTAAAGCCTCTTGTTTTCCCCTGTGTGATCCAGATGCTGGCACCCTGGAACGGGAGATCACCCACATTTGACACCATGTCAGTGTTATTAGACTAAAGGAAATGCCAAAAAATCATCTTATAAAGTTCAATACACATTCATGATTAAAATGAATCACAGCAAAATAGGAAAAAAAGGGAACTTCTTTTCCTTCATAAAAGGAATCTATCAGAAACCTAAAACAAACAACATTTTCAATGGTAAAATATAGGGAATATTCCCATTTATACATTCAGGGTATCCCCAAAAGATATATTTTATCATTGAGTATCTTCAACAATATGTAGGGGCTCCTGGAAACTTTAAAATATAAAAATAATATATAAGAAATGTTAATATCATAATGAATAGGCAAAAATTACAGTCATTTGGAAATACAATCATGTATTTATAAAATAATCAGTTATATTAGAAATATCAGGGGATAAATGAGAATCCAAAAAAGATGGACCAATATAAGTTCAACAAAAAATAAATCTTATAATCCAGCAATAATTAATTTAAAATGTGATAAAATAATATAATAACAATAGCAAGTAAAACCATAAAGTAAAAAATAAACCTAAAAAGAAATGAGAAGAGAGAATCAAGATGGCAGAGGAGTGAGTGGAAGTCACATTAACCTCCTCCCAGGACCAATATGGAATTACAACTAAATTGTGGAGAAATGACCTGAAACAAACAACTGAACAATAGCAAAAGAGGAGCATTATAACCTCGGACAGACAGAGGAATCAGCTTTAGCAAAACCTAACTGGTAAGGAGTACAGTAGAGGCTCGAGAAGGCAGGTGGGGCACCCATGGGTGGCAGCACCAGAAGGATATTTAAACAGCCAGTTGGATCCTCCTGAGAACAGCGGGGTCTAAACTATAAGCGAGGATCTCCAGCCTACAGCACCAGAGCCCAAAAAGTACACAGATAACAACCAGCTGCAAAAAGTGGCAGGGTTGCTCTCTGCCAGAAACAGGCAGCTGGAGGCACAAGGATCCATTTAAACAGCCAATGTATGAATTTTTATTTGCAGCCACTTACCCTGGTCTCCAGCAAAGGCAGGGGCAGAGAGATCTAGAGACACTTGAGAAGAGACTGGAGACAGAGGCTCTGGGGGAAGAACTGAGAGAGTAGCTGGCAGGATCCCAGAGCTGACTCATCCTCTACACATCAGCAGCCATCTTGCTGAGGCAAACCACTCCCCTGAGTGGCAGCAGCCTGAGAGAACCCAATAACCCTGCCCCCAGGAGGGACTCTGCCCTGCCCTGTGGTTTCTAGACCAGACTGCTGAGTGCAGAGTGACTAGATTAACAGCTGAAGGAGACAGCCACAGACAATAGATTCCTGGAAGTCTTGAACAGACTGCCTCAGGTCAGACAGGGTTAACATATGACATCACCACAGGCAGATCCAGAAAGAAAAAACAGGGATCTCCTACATAATGTCTGTATAATGTCTGTATAATAGGGATGCCAAAAGGAGAAGAGGAGCAAGGGACGGAAAACCTGTTTGTAAAAGTAATGATGGAAAACTTCCCTAATTTGAGGAAAAAAGTCACACAAGTCCAGGAAGCACAGAGGATCCCATTCAAGAACCCAATGAGGCCCACTCAATGATACATCCTAATTAAAATGGCAAATATCAAAGACAAACAGAGAATCCTAAAGGCAGCAAGGGAGAAACAGGTAGTAACATACAAGAGAGCCCCAGTATGGCTAACAGCTGACTTCTCAACAGAAACACTACAAGCCAGAAAGGAATGGCAAGAAACATTTCAAGTCATGAAAAACAAAGACCTGCAACCAAGACTGCTCTACCCAGCAAGGCTCTCAATTAAAATGGAAGGTGAAATAAGGAGTTTCCCAGACAAAAGGAGGCTGAAAGAATACACCTCCACCACACCAGCATTGCAAAATATGCTAAAGGGACTGCTTTAAGAAGATGAAGGAAAAGAGTCTATGAATACCCAGTTCCTCTCACAGTCACCAATACTTGATATTACCAATATTTTTAATATGTATTAATCTGATTGTCACAATGATATATTTTAATTGTTACTTTATTATTTGTTGAAACTAAACTTGTTTTTTATGTTTCTTGTCTATTTTTATTATTTTTACAAATCTTTAAATGACTTTTGGGTATTCTTTGTCCATTTTTTGATTAATGGTTTGTAGAATTTTTTCCCTTAAAAAAACCTTATTAACCCTTTTTTAGATGTGTTGGAAATACTTTCCTATCCTATTACTTGCCCTTTAACTTTTTTAATATGTATATTACTATATGGTCTTAAATGTTTAATATAGTCATAATTTCAATATTTTACTTTATACCTGCTGGATTTGAATATTGTACTTCAGGGTAAGAAAAATATTATTTTGTATTTTCTCCTAAAACTCCTTAGACTTTACATGTTAATTTTTTACTCACCTGAGTATTTTTTGTATAATGTATGAAATAGGACTCTATATTTGTTTTATTTCAAGTAATAGTGGTCCATCACTTTTTTTGTTGAATAAGCCTTATTTTCCCCATTGATTTGAAATATCAGTTCAATCACATATTACATTGTTAGACAGATATATACATCTGTTTCTAGAATGCTCATTATATTTCATTGATCTACTTGGTTATTTCTGTGCTGGTGTCATGGTTTAATTGCTGAGACTTTATAATGGATTTAAATTTTTTAATATTTTATAATGTATTTTGACATTTAAAAAATAAATAATAAAACCAATCTGTATTTTTTTAAAAAAAGAAAGAAAGAAGGAACTCCTACTTTTTGCAACAACAAAAAGCTAAGCAGGGAGACTGGGAGAACAAGCCACTGACGATACAAAACTTGTCCCCCTGACAGGGACACAGCCCCTACCTCCCTCACGTCACCCTGCTTGGCCCTGGAGGATAGCTGATTAGTTAATGATGGGTAAGACCCCTCGATGACAGGGCCAACCTAAGACAGGCACAGCTGCATGGGCATCAGAGAAGAACTTGGGGGACCCAGAGAAAGGACAAAGATCCTCACCCCCCGGCTTTCATTTGACAGGAGTCCTCATTCTATCTGAAAGTAGTCCTCTTATCTTTTAGTAGTTCTGCCCCACCCACCTGGCTCAGGCTTGAAACAATACTGGAGACAGCCCTAAACTGGATTGGGTGGTTCCCAGGGGGAAATCAGGCCTAGAAGTAAGTCCCTTGAAGCACGCTTTGTTCTTCCCTCATAAGCTATGATAGCCAGTCATGCTGGAAAGGAAATTTACATTATTCATAGACCCCAACCTGAGGCAAATCTCCTGTGTTCCTTCAATTGTTACCTATGATCTCTATTTGTTTTCAGTAAACATAGCCTTTTGACATGGATTGATGAGCTTTGCATCCATACCCCTGCGCATATGGTTCTCAATAAAAGCCACTTGAAGAGAAGGGCTCAGGGCATTCTCCACTAGACGGAACTGCCACACCTTCACCTGACAGACTGAGAGAAAAGTGTCTGGGACGACTCATTGTATTTCCCCATCCATGATGACCTGGAGTGATTCTGCAGGACAGAGTCTGCCCTCCGCCTCATTTATCTGTAAAATGGGAAACATACACTTCTTCCTCTTGCTCTTTGAATTTTGGGGAAGGCTCAATAATTTATGTGCTGGGCCCTAAGTATGTAGCAAGATAACCAAATTAAAAATTACCACTCACAAAAGAATGAAAAATATTTCTGCCCATTCCCATCTGGCTTTGTGGGTTTCGATCCAGAGCTTACTCTTGCCCAAGAAAAGAATTATATGCAGCAAGGAAGAATGTTCAAGGATGTGAAGGTGGGAGAATTGAGGACCTTTCTAAATGGGACATGTATACGGTTGCCTCCTCAAGTCAAAGGGACATGGTCTTATTCCCACAGAGCACGGAAGCATTGTCCCGTTTCATGAATACCTGAGACTGGGGTGGCTCACAGAAACCTGGGACAGTGCCCTGGTTAAAGAAAACATCCAGGCAGCTGAGTGGGAAATGGAAGACATGATATCACCACACAAAATGGACTACATAGACTTAGAACAGGAGTTATTTTTTTAAAAAAATAATATTTTATTTACTTATTTTTAGAGAGAGGGGAAGGGAAGGAGAGAGAGGGAAACATCAATGTGTGGTTGCCTCTTGCATGCCCCCTATGGGGGACCTAACCAGCAATCTAGGCATGTTTCCTGACTTGAAATCAAACCAGTGACCCTTTGATTCACAGGCTGGCACCCAATCCACTGAACCACACCAGCCAGGGCAGAGCAGGAGTTATCTTAATCCCAGCCATCAGCTCTGATGTTCTTCCAGATGTTTTCTGTATCTCTTTATTTGCCCATATAACCTGTGGGTGGAGAGCAAGTTGCCCTCCCACCCAGCAAAGAAAGCATAACCTGAAATTGAATTTTCCATTTTTTAGGTAAGCGGGGCTCAGAGCCAGTTAATTTGATTTATAAAAATGCAGAAATATAATGCTTCTTGGAACCAGAGCAATGGAAACTGATGTTAACACATTCATGATTTATTACACTTAAATCATCTTTGTTCAGTGAGAGGGTAGGGCAGATATGATCATAAGCTTCAGGTCCAGGTAGATGAGTTTGATTCCAGCCTCTGTCACTTGCTCTATATAATGAAACTCAAAAACATTTAACTTCTTTAAGTTTCAGTGTCCTCATAAAAAACATGAAAAATAATGCTGGTCCCATGGCATTGTGTAAACATTTAATAATATTTTATTTGCTAGAAGTGCTTGTCAAGGTGGTTGATACATAGCATGTGCTTGATAAATAGTCAGTGATGTGATAAGTGGTGCGAACATCTCATGAGATCTGAAGTTGTGTGGAGATATGGCCATCAGCAGGAAATTATTTGGGATACGTCTGGGATGGGGGTAAGATCTTCTCTAGAGGTATGGGCTAGTTGCTTTCAGGTTGGAGAGTTGAGTTGGCACCCAAGACTCAAGGGAGTGGATAATATATGCCAATCACTGTGGTTGGGTTGGCATTCACCATGTTGGAGCACCAGCTGCCCCTCTGACCACATGGAGAGCTGATTCTATTAAATGCTTGACCAGAACTGATAAATCTTGATAAGACTGGGCAGGCAATTGGCTGCAGAGAAAGAATAGAGGGTGCCAGGAAGCAGGCACCTTCTACGTGATTTTGGAGGGACCTTCTATCCCAGCACCTCACTGTTACCATCTATAAATGAAGGAACTGGATATGAGGAGGAAGAAAGAAGTCTCTGTCTCTTGACAAAGGGCTAAATTAGGTGTGACTGCCTAGAATGCAGGGCTGAGAAGGAGCTCCAGGGCACATGTCAGACTGATTAGTAATCTAAGGGAAAAGTCAGGGCTCTACTGGGGAAGGGAGTAACTAAAAATGCCTCCAACTTGAATAGCCACAAATAAATTTTGTTAGAAAGTAGTTATAGAATCTCATACATCAGGTGGATCTGCAGGATGGAGGTTGAAAGGCAAGACAGGACCCTATCTCTCCCATGGCCTTGATGCCTGGTCAAAACTCACAGATAGCCAGTCGGTACTGCAGGCAGCTCCTGTCATTCCACTGCCCATCTGTGTACATCTCCACACACTTCTCTTTACCCTGACCCTTGGGCTCTCCTGGATACCAGTTGGTATAATTCATAGGGGTCCCATCCAGGTAGTAGAAGACTCCAGAGGTAGGGCCCTCAACCAAACCCAGATAGGCATAAGTGTTGTGCTTCTTCACGATACTTGCAATAGCATCATTCTCTTCTGGACTCCTTGGGACTGCAATGCTGCCACCTACTCTGTCACATAACTCTTTAATGGCATCAAAATTGGCTGACTGCCCATTGGTTGAGAAGACCTTCTCTCCCACTTTCAGCATGGAACCCTGTAAACTGAGGACTGGGAACAGAGGAATATAGGTCAGTCCACTGACCTCTTTGTCTCACTTGGGCTCTGCCTTTATACTCTCTCCAATCTCTTCATCTCTGCTTCTCTGTTTTCCCTCTATCTTCCAATCCTAGTCTTTCTAAATTCTCCTCTATGCTTTCATCATTCTATTCATTCACTAATACATTTAGCAATTATTTATTAATTTTCTTATTATGTGCCCAAAGCTGCAATTTCTGGGGATTCAACAGAAAGCAAGATAGGCAGAAAGCTTGCTTTCCCATGACATAGGGAGCTAATCTATGTCTACCTCTGCCTCCTCTGGGCCATCAAAGACATCAGAAAAGGGAAGCATCATTAATTTCCCCAAGATATGCATGTCCACACCCATTCTACTTTCTGGACCCTGGTGCCAAAGATGAGGGGAACTTAGGGAGAGCCCTGACTGTCTTATAAGCCCCTAAGGGGTCTCTTACCTCCTGTTGACTGCAAGATTTGATATCTGAAGTCATAGAGTGTGTTTTGAAGCTCTTCATCTAAATAAGCTGGAAGTCCTGTGGAGAAAACCCCATCCAGAATGAGGGCAAGCCAACAGAGACCCCCATTTGCTGCCAAGCAGATGTGATACCAGCCACAAGTCTGGCATTCTTCTCTCTACTTGTCCATACCCACTGCTCAGCCCCCACATTTTAAGTGTCCACTACACTCAAGTGTGTTTCCACACTCCCTACACACTTGTCCTTTCATACAGCCTTGCACCTGATGAGCTCCTCTCTGCTCTCCTCTCCTTCAATGGTCTTTAATGGCTCTGTCTGCTCACTTCTGTGGGCTTCTCTGGTTTCTGGGCAGGTATCCGTCTCCCAAAGGCAAGTATGGTTCTCTCTGTACTTTCCTGATGGACTTTGGTTACAATACAAAGCTTTGGAGTTTCCCTCTGCATGTGGGGCTCTCAATTACACCATCTGCTTGGATTTTTGGTCCACATGACCCAGTACAGTTTTCAGAATGTCCCCAGCACCTCACCCCTAAGAAGTGCTTCCCAAGCTTTCCAGTACTGCTCTCTTTTCCATACTGTCACCCTGTGCCTCCCCTACAGCAGCTGTAGTGAGAACTTTCAACAGCCATTGGTCCCTGCATTATGGCCTACAACCCATATACTTCTGATTCCTTTCTTTAACCTTGTATTCCCTTATTTAGATTGAGCAATATGCCTTTTGGGGGCCTCAACAGTTTTATCTGATCCCCATCATCTCTCATGTGACTATGACATGGGCACTGTGTTCAGGTTGCCACTTCCCACCTTCCCTACTTTGCTTACCTGGAGGGCCCCTCTCACCAGGTTCTCCCTTTTCTCCACGCTCACCAGCAATGCCAGGGGCTCCAATAAGCCCATCACGCCCAGGGAGGCCTGGCATTCCTCCAGGGGGGCCCATGGGGCCTGCAGAGAGAAGGGGACGTGGATGTATGATATCTGTCATCCACCACAGGGTTGGATTTGTGTGCCTGGACCTCCAGTATCAGCCAGGCTGACTCATCTGTTAGTACATAGGCATTTTGAGGAGGGACCCTGCAGGGCTGCTCCAGTCTAAAAGCCCCAGGAAACTCCCATCGTGCCCCACCATCCAGCTGCCCCTTGGAGCCAGTGCAGAGCCCTAAATACACTGGGTTCCTGAAAACAGGTCACTATCCCTTAGCTGAAGGAGGTGTCTCCCAGCCCATACCTGGAAGTCCAGGATCTCCTTTGATTCCATCTCTTCCATCTCTGCCTGGCAGGCCATGGGATCCTGGAGTGCCAGGGATGCCTGGGCTTCCAAGACAAACTTCCTTCACTTCGCACTCGATGCCAGAGTCCACCAGCAGGATGAGGGCGAGGACCAAAGAGCACAGCAACATGGCTCCCATTCCAGCTGCTCCTCCTGCAGAAAGGAAGGGCTGTCAGACCATCTGAAGCATTTGCGAAGGTCTCCCCTCCCTTCCCACGGCTGAGCCTCAGCGCTAAGATAGGCATACACCGGAGCTCTGGAAAGACCCAAATTATCCTTGGAAACTCCTAGAGTCATCTGGCATCTAACATAGTCTCATGCTCCATTGCTCTGGCTTGAAGTGGTGTTGTACCTGGACAAGTGAGGAAGTACAGTGTAAAGAAACCTGGAGAGTCAGAGCACCTGGGTTCTAATGAAGTCTCTGCTTGTACCTTGTTGTGTGAACTCACTTCACCATTGCTAAGTTCAGCTGAAACTTCTGTGCCCTGGAGACAATCCTGACCTGTCCCTCCCAGGCTGTTGGGAAGAGGGATGTGGTCACTCACTCCCTCTGTCTCTTATACTCTCAGCTACTCTCTTTTCAAGTTCTAAAGGATCGCGTTCCTGAGGATGAGATGAAGGTGGCCAGGGTCCATGGCCTGGCCACTCCAAAATGGTCAATGATGAGGAGACCCCCCCCACTGCTGGAGTGACCCCTTCTCCTTGGCAGGCTGTTCTCTGACCTCCAGCAAGCCCTGCTGAGCTCCTGGTGAGAATGGACCTGGCTGAGGAACCCCCAAAGTATAAGGATATTTGCAAGCCTTTCTGCTTGCACCATAGTTAATATTTTGTGAAACACCTGCTGGGGTGTGTGGGGAGACCCCTGCGTTCCCAGCCTGCTCTGAGTTAAGCCTGTGGCTGCTGGGCTGGTTCTCACTGTCTTCAATGCATGCACTGGGGAACACCCAGGAAATAGGGCTAAACTCACCCACACACGCAGAGCCTATGTGGATCTCTGCCTCCAGGTCAGGGTGGAGAAGTGGACGGCACCATTTATATGAATGCAGGTTTCCTCTGCATCCTGGAGAGGCTCCTGTCACAAGGACCTCTACTCCAGGGAGGGTCAGGCAGGAAGCAGCCGTCTTGTTTACACAGAGCATTTCCTTACAGAGCTCAGGCTGGAGGGGCACTTAAGAAGCCTGCTAAACTCCAGGTCTGTAGAAAGGGAAATTGTCCATGGGCTCAAGGTTCCCCACACTCCCCATAACCAGTTTCCAAGCAGTGCAGGATGAGAGTACTCACACAGGGCATGAGTAAGGCCTTCCTGGCCTGGACTTTCCCCCACCATCCTGGCTGGTGACACATTTACAGCCAAGGATCACCATCCCCCAAATGCCCACCACCAGGAGAGAATACCAAGGCTGGACACAGATTGTCAGCATGCAGGGATATCTCCACCTGACTCTTCTCTGAGACCATGCCAGCTCTAGAGCCTCTTTGGGTCTTAGAAGGTTCCATGTGGTTCCATACAGTGGAGAGGCCCTGAATCAAGTTGAGGGTCATCAGGTTGATCTGGAACAAACTGTCTGTCGTGGGATGTGCCTCAACACTGAGCTCCCAGGCCTCCCAGCTCCTGCTTCTAGAGCCTGTGGCCGAGTTGGTGGCCACATGGTTCAGAGTCACAGGTAATGAGGGTGGCATCACAGGTAACACATATTCCCCTTTGCTCTACACTTACAGATTCAGCTGTGGTGAGGCAGGGCAGGGCCCGAAAGTCGCAGGAGAGCAGCAGGTTCTGCCTTTGGCCATGGGTGATATCTGATAATCTGCAATGGTGATGCCTTTAAGCAGTGAAGTAATATGTGAAGCCCTAATTCATGAGATTCCTTATTCAAGCCACTTGGTTAGGAGGGAATCTCAAACTGTAGGGTTGGTAACAGCATGGAACTAAGACAAGGAAAAAATTACCATGCCTACTTGTTAGTGGTTTGAAAAATTTTGATATCCTTAGGAAGAGCTGAAGAACTTTTGGGGAGTGGGAACTCAGCTGATGGAACCCCACTTCTGGGGACAGGAAGCCAGCCAGAACTTACTTGGAGCACTTAGTGCTTTCAGCTACCCCATTACTATTAGTCATGTGCCCTAATGTGGGTGCTGGGCCAAGTGTGAAAGAGCCAGGGCCAGGGCAGGGCCGGGGTCATTGAGGAAGCAGTTCCATCTAAAGGACTTCAACTCTGCTTGGGAGAGAGAGGCTGTTCCTCAGGTGAAGGAACAGGAACAGATATTTTCTAGGGCAGATTCTGAAGGGTGTGGAGAGAGGTACCTGGGTCGTCTAGGGCCATGTGCTTGGTGGGGGAGGTTGTGGATTTAGGAGTCAGACATGCCTGAGTTGAAATTTGGAGCTTCCACTCATCAATGTGGCTTTTGCCTTTGTCAGCTTATATAAATTTCAGCCTTGGTTTAACTCTTGGTTTTTTTTATTATTTTGAAGCAATATAAAAAGCTTATAGAAAAGTTGGAGGTGCAGTACAGATTTTTTTTCTGAACCTGTAAGAGTAGGTAGCCAATATGATACTCCATCATCCCAGAACTTTTAACAAATATGTTTTCCTATACAACCACAATAGATCCATCAAAATAAAAAAATTAGCATGAGTCAGATATTATTTTTGTTACAAAGTAGTAGAATATCATGGGGTATTTTATTTAGTTGCTTAAATTACCTGATTATCTAATCATTGAAGTCACATAGCTTAATGGCAACATATTTATAACATGTGTCATATACAATTCTAATAAAATGGCTATTCAGTTACCTACCTGGCCTTTTCTCCTTCATCCTGGGTTCCATCACTCTCCCTTCTGCAACCTCTAAAAAGAGGGTGCTGCAAGTGTACAGAACTGAGGGGTGTTTTTCATGTCTCTCTTTTTCTGATCACAATTTTTCTTTGGCCTGGAGTGTTCTGACTGCCCTTTCTGATACACTCACAAAAGAAAAAGGGAGATGAAAGGAGGGAGGGAATGAATGAGAGAGAGAGAGAGAGAAGGGAAAAAAAAGAGAGATTATTACCTGGGTCTCCTGAAATCACCTTTAAATTCTCTGCCATAATATCCTTACAGTCAGAGAGCTGTGCTCATTTTAATTGTACCTAGAGACAAAGGGATAAACAAGTTAATTTACTATATGGGTCAAGGTTTAATTTCAGTATTCTAGGGTGCAGTTTAACAACATGAAAGAAAAGATTGAACCTGTTATTCCCTGGTACAGTTAACATATTCAATAAATAAATACATATTACATTGATGCTTTTCCAATAAATGTAATTTCATTAAAAATAAAAATAAATAAATCTATTTCTAGTCCCTAAAAATGATGATTTGTTTAAAAGTTCACATTATTTGTTTTTCTCTTAATTTTTTTATCAACACAGCCTTCTCATCTTTCTCCCTGACCTTAGCATTTTTAATACTATCTTGTGTGCCTTCCAAACTCCAGAGAAGCACATCACATTTTGGCTTTTTTTAAACTTTTATAGAAGTATAATAGACATAACACTGTGAAATTTAAGGTGTATGTGTTGACTTAATACACGTATATCATAAAATGATTACATTTGTGTTTTTCTGTTTGACTTATTTCAGATAGCATGATGCCCTCAAGGTCCATCCACACTGTTGTAAATGGCAAGAGCACCTTCTTTCTTGTGGCTGAATTTTACACACACACACACACACACACACACACATCCCTATCTTTATTCATTCACACATAGACAAGCATTTAGGTTGTTTCCATATCTTGGCTATCATGAATGATGCTGAAATGAACATGGAAGTGTAGATGTCTCTTTGAGATCCTGTTTTCATTTCCTTACCTTGACTATTAGACAAGTACAGCTGCTCAGGACAGTCCTTCACACCTAGTCCTGCTATCCTCAAGCCCATTTTTGGTGTATCAAGTCACATGATCATTCTCTGAAAATATTGGGCCTGAATGAAAATATTCTTTTAGAGTTTTCTGTTTTCATCATGGAAAAAACAAAATCTCACTGTGTTCACAAGGGCCTTATTACCTGAAACTTCCATGTTGCTCTGGCCTCATCATCCCTCCCTGAAGCTTTCATTGCAGATGGGGTAGGAGAGAAGGACCCAGACAAAGTCCATGTGAGTTCCACTTTTAGGTGGAGGATGAAGCAGGGGAAAAAAATCCATTGGATGGAGGAAGCTGGGGTACCTTGCTTAGTCCCTTCACACCCTCGTTCTCTGTGCCACAGCTGTGCTCTGGGCTTAGAGCTGAGAGGACCATAAGGTGACTGGCCCAGAGGCCCTGACCTCAGATGTGCATGAGGAGATGAGATGTGAGTGTGAGCAACTATGGCAGTGGGGACCAAGCCCTCAGAGAAAGAAGAGGGCCATCCAGCCCTACGGATGGGGCAGGGGGATTAGCTTCTGTGATGGCTTCTTGGAGGGAATAACATGAGCTGGTATGAGCAATGGGAAAAGGGGCCTTCCAGATCGAGGAAACAGCCTAAACAAAGGGCCAGAGGAGAGCTCAGTTCTCCAACTCTGTTGAGCCAGCTGTAAGAGTTTCAACAGAACTCTAGAGAGGCCGCTTTTCCTGGTCCCATGGTCTGGACATTTTCTAGTCTCTCTGTGCAGTGCCCTTCTGTGAACCCTGTGTATTATTAACCTCAGATTACAGCCATAATATCTAAGTCCATTCTTCCCAGATGTTTGAAAGCATTTCAGAAGGAACCATAGCTTCTCTTCATAAAGGCCTGTAATGGTTGGCCCGCACGTTCCGGGATGTTGGAGTGATATCTCCCTACATTGAGATTTCAGTCCTAGTATTGATTATTGTCTGGATTTCATTTTCTAAAATACCTGAACATCTAAGAAACGAGGAAGATCACTGGAGCTTTCATCTTAAAGTGTCCCAAAAATGGAGCAGGGAAAGAGATCTTGGTCCACTCACCCTGCATCTTCACAGCATCCATCCTGCAGGTTCCTGATCTCAGCAAAGAGGTTGCTCCCACCTTTGGCTGAGACGCAGTAGGACCACCTATCTTAACAGGCAGCAGTTAGTCCACAGTGATACTTGGGTTGCCTAAATTTGAGGGCAGCACTGTTAGAGATAAAATATACACCACACATATAATTTAAAATTTTCTGGTATCCACATTAAAATAAATTTTTAAAGACAGGTGAAATTTAATGTAATGATTTTTAACCCAGTATTTTCAAAACATTATTTTAACATGTAATTAATATAAGACTATCATTTGTTACACATTTTTTTATTCATTTTTTTCTTACTAGATTTTCAGAATGTGATGTGTATTTCACATCTATAGCACATCTCAGTCTAAGGGAGGCATAGGTCAAGTTCTCCCTCAGCACAGGGGAGGAGGCTCCAGTGCCAAACAGCACAGGTACATGGGGCAGGCCTTGCAGATTATGTTGGCCTTTCAGGAAGAAAATAACTGTAAGGATCAGTTTTAGGAGAGATGTCTGGGAAGGAGTACCCTCAGAGGAGGTGACATGTCATCTGAGACCTGCAGAATGAGACGGAAGTGGCCATTTGGAAAGAGATACAAGCTTGGCTGGCAAAAGGAAAGCATATGCAAAGGTCCTAGAATGGGACAAGTGGCCTGTTTAGGAAAAAAGAGACCAAGGAGGCTGAAGTGTCATGAGAGAGGGGCCGAGGAACACAGAATGAGGCAGAGACATGGACACTCTTCAGGCATATCGGGTCATGAAATTTATTCTGAAAGAGAACAAAACCCTGAGTTTACTGCATGAGATATGAGATTGATCAAATTTACACTTATTTTTTATTACTCTGCTCTTTTCCACATCAACAGTGACCTCCTATTGATGAATACAATAAACAATGCCCAGGCCTCCCATCGTGGACCATCAGTATCATTTCACATTTAAGCCCCTGCATGTCCTTTTCTGGAAACTCTGTCCTCACTTCATCCTGGACACCCGACTCCATGGTCCTCCTGCCTCCTGGCCATTCCCTCATAGCCTCCT